ATGTTTTGGTTATAACTCTCTCTATGGAGCTCCAGATGAATGATTTTTAGATCATTGGAAAGATAAGCGAAAAATGTACAACTTTCATGTTTATTACTTTGCCTAGTTTGGCCTAAAAAGTGGTCAAACATCTTGTTGAAATTGATATACTGTAGCAGTCCTAGAACAATTATGCTTTTCTTCTATTTAAATAGTCCAGGTCACGGCTTTAGAGGTGGTAGGTCGTGGCCCACATAGTTTGATAAGCAAATCTTAACTTCAAAACCTATAAAAACAACCTTTTGGAAAACTTTTAAGAAGAAAAGAGAGAACGAAACACCAAATTGACAGTTGAGAGTCAAGCTACAAAGTCACTGAGGTTGAGAAGAATTTGAAGGATTCAAAGAGATTTGGAGATCAAGAATACAAGTATTGGGTTTTTCTATCTTTTTTATTCTCTTATTCTCTTGTTTTGTTTTTAATGTTTAAATTTTATTTGATTATGATGTGTGACTTGATGGAGAACTAAATTGTTTATCTAAGATTATGATTGAACTCAATATGTAGTCTGATTTATTTATCTCTTTTTTATATACATTTGATAGATTTAAGTTATTTATTTTATTATGTTTTTAATAATTCTAATTGCCTGATCACCAATTAGATTGAATTGGAAACCTAAGTTAAAACTTGACAAAAGAAATTTAGGTTGACCTTGAATAGAATAGCATATGATAGAATGCACTTAGTTGATGAGGTAGTTTGATTTGTATATAGGATAGATATACACCTATAAGCTATACGTAGCCAAAATTAGAGCACGAACTTAATGAATCTTTCTTCAATTTAATTTACATAGACATATAGTAAATTAATTAGAAGAGATATTTTTATGAGAAACTTGACAGAGGTTTGTAAATAATGCAGGACTTTGGGTTAGCAACTTAATCCATTAAACTAAGTTAAGAGAGAGAGAGAGACAATAATCAAATGAACTATTGAAGGACACCATAATCTTAAGTCTAGTAGTTAAGTGAGTTTTATAAAACAAATTTACTATTTAATTTTAGTTTCAGTATATTAGTTGTAACTTTTCTTTTTAATAATTTGAAATTTAATTATTTGGATAAAATTAAGGTGTTATAATTTTAGTAGTTAATAATAAGAATTAATTCAATTCTCTGTAGGATCGACACTCTACTCATTACTATATTATCTTAGCAATACATATACTTGCGTGGATAAAAAATTGAATAACAACAACATGCCTTTTAATAGGATCAAGCATAACATTCACAACATATCTTTTGCCAAGATCAGGCATATCTTTTACCAAGAATACCTTTTTTAAGTTCAAGCACAACCTTTACACAAGATATAACCTTTTAAAAGATCATGCAAAACTCTTCAACCTTTTGCTTGAATGTATAACCAATACAATAGTAGATTCACAAGAACCTTTAGCTTAAATCCTCTCGCAAGGTTGATAAACAAGTTTAAGATCAAAACATTGAGAGCTTTCTCAAAAGATATGAAGGATGAAAGAAGGTTTAAGCTTAGAAAGTGTCAGTTGAAGGTTAAAAATGTAATCTTTAGACTCTGCTCTTACTCCAAGATAGGATTTTTCTACTCATAGCTCTTTCTCTTTTTTTTTTTCACCTTTCTTCTCTTCAAAGATGATTCAAATTTATTTAAAATCCTTCCAAGTTCTTTCCTTTAATGTCCTCAATACAGGTCTATATAGCCTCTATGATTTCTTAATAGTTTGAGTGAAATTAGAATCTATTCTCATGTGTTATAGCCAGCTTACACAATTCTATTGCATATAGAGAATCGATTCTTTACGAGTGAGTTATATGCTCTTCAAAAAGTTTGGAGCTTTCTATCTTTGTAGAATCAATTCTTTTATTCTGATATGTCGGTTTTTCTACAACTGGATTCAAAGGTGACACTTTTGCAATTTTTGGAGAATCGATTTTTTTTTTTTTGCTTCAAGGTATTAGTTATTCACTATGTTTGACACCAAAATTTGAATTTGAGCTTGACTTTTTATGCTCCATTCTTATCCATTTGTACTATCTCTTTCTTGGTCACTAAGTTTCTATATTTTACTTTTGGCGCTATAAGAACTTATATCTTATCCATGTATAATTGATTTTTTCTTCTTTGCATTTTTGACTCCTACATTTTGTCCTTCTAGAATTGATTCTTTGGCTCCATGGTGTTGGATCTTTACAAATCTTGAAACTTCTTTCTCCAATAATCGACTTCTTTTTTTAGAATCGATTCTTCACTGTTGATCTCTACTTTAGAACTAATTTCTCTTTCTTTAGAATTGATTCTTCCTATGATAAAAAAATTAATTTTTCTTTCTTCTCATTGAAGAATCAAGTCTTTTCTTTTGAGAATTTGATTCTTAGGCTGGCATTTTGAATTTTACGAACCAAAAACCTTTTTGAAAAAACTAAGAGATTTCTTTAAGTTCAAAACTATGATCATTCATATTCAAAGCATGTTCAATGAATCTTAGCATTTCAATATATCTTTTTCTTAAGTTCAGCTTCAACACATCTTTGAAGATTTTCTTCATATTCAAAAGTATTTTTCATTCATTTTTAAAGCTCATTAAGTTTAATCAATTTTGTCATTTCAAAACAAGAATAAAGCTAACACTAAGTTTTTCCCAAATTTCCTTGGTCATGTTACAGTTAGAAATTTTTTTGAATTTTATAGGGATTAAGGCACAATAAAGAATGTTGATAGCTTTGAAGTTGACTTGGACTTTTCTCATTTCAGCTTCAATCCACTTTTTTCTAGATTTAGGTATTTTTCACTTGTGATCAAGTTTATGTTGGTAGGGATCCAAGGAACATTTGTGATTACATCCCACATTTCATAGTCAACAGCTTTAATATAAATGGATATCTTAGTGCTCCAACATAGGTAATTTGATCCATCAAGTCGAGGAGGCTTATTTATGGATTGCCTTTCAGCCACATTAGAATTTTGTTTAGCCATTGGATCTTCTCCTAAAGATGTTAAGCCTTAAACTCAAAAGTTTGACTCTAATACCATTTGTTGGTCCCAAAAAGAATGCTAAAAGGGAAGCAAATAGCAATTTCAAAAATTTTGAAGGTAACTCTTAGAAGTTAAAACCATTTGGAAGATTTGAGATGGATGATTTAAGATCTTGTTGAGGTTAGTGAACACTAAGCACAGAGAGGTTAAGAGAAATGGAAAAAACATAATATTTATAGTGATTCAGTCCACCTGATCTACATCCACTCCGTTAATCTTCCTAATCAAAGATTTTTAACCAAATTTCACTCAAACTAGTGGAATCAGCAACTTCCACCAAGTTTTTACAAGGTGAGCTTATAACTCAAGCTTTAAACCTTTACAACAACCCTTAAGTGCCTCATACACTCTAATCAAACAAGAAAATAAGAGAAAAATAATGTATAAATAAACAACTAGCTGATCTAAGAGGTATAAATTCAAGCTTAAACACTTTTACAAGGATAAGAATGGAATACTAATGTAAAAGAAAAGGTTTTTTGCTCTTCAAGCTCTCACAAACTTTTAGTATATTCTCTTATGCATTTATGACTGTTGGAGACCCTTCAAATACTTAAAAGACACATTTTGGCCATTAAAGATAGTTTTTACTAGTTGCTATTTTGTCTTCTAGTTGTTAAATTCAAATCTACTGGTAATGCTTCATTAACCAGTTAAAGACAAGTTTTAACCGATTAAGCTTTTTCTGTCTTGCAGTCTACTTCTCTGCATTAACTAGTTAACAGCAACTTTAGCTTATTAGAAACTTTCTATTTTCAAGCAGCATTCTTCACCAACTTTCTTTCAATTGATTAATGCTCTTTTTAACTGTTTGAGGCTTCTCTCTCTTCAACTTTAACCGATTAAAATAGGCAAAACAAGGTAAGAATTCTTCAACTTTGAATTTCTTAGTTTGGCACCTTTGGATAATCGTCCACATTTTGAATTGGATTTAATGCTTCTTGATACTTCAAGCTTGATCTTTAACCCATTAACTCATTTGGTTAATTGATTAAAAAGCTTATAGTTTGCACCTAGTATATTCTTCATCAATTATGCCTTATGCTAACTAATTAAGGCTTTTCTTCCTTCCTTTGATGTAGCGCCTTGAATAGCCTTCACTAATTAAGGCTATATGTTAACCAATTAACATTATTATGATTTTACTTAACCTTTTGTTCTTTGCTCGTTTTAACTAATTAACCATTTTTTGTAACATAACAAGCTTCTTGACTTGCTTTCAATCAACAATTTCATTAAAGGAATTAACTTTGTCCTGCACACTTAAATAATATAATTATACCTTAATAAAAGAAGAATATTTTGTTATCATCAAAACATATGAAGTCAACAAGTTTATCATTGACATTTTCATTGGTCCAAGTTTCTTTCAATCAAATTGGTATCATAAGTACTTGAGACTTTCAACAACAAACTATGGTGAGAAATCAACATTTATATATATATATATATATATATATATATATATATATAAAAAGCATGTATTGAAGTCTCTTAAAACTCCAAGATGAATATATTGGATAATAATCCTAAAACAAAACAACTATATTGAGAAAAAAATCCTAGAACAATTGTCAAATATATAGTTGAACTTGAACTTAGATTATTGGCCAAATAATTGTTAACTAAAAGATCCCCTTCTTGGACAACCTCATCAAATATGCATAAAAAAGATAATACTCAATAAAGTTGATGATTTATTTGTGTATATAACTAGACCTTTGGAAAATTATTATTCAATTTTGTAATTAATTTTATCGGATACATAATAAATAGCTAGTTAACCAACTCATTCCGAGTACATAAATATAAAGGGGTTATAACAAACCACGATGAGGAAAATCAAATGATTAGTAACAAATTACTGCAAAAGAACTTTCGAAATTCCAACACATTGAAAATGAGAATTGTTTTCGTAGTTGGAAATACTACAACACCTAGCTTACACACACATCTTTAATTTGCAGTAGAGTTTAATATTATTAGCAGAAAATACTGCAACAGCAACACGTAGTAGGAAGGTCCAAGCTCTTTCAAGAAATTTGCAATCTCTTCAATCTGTCACGCACTCGGGAATTCTGAATGCCAATTCTTGAATATGCAGCCTGCAATACACCAACAGCACAAATATCAGCTCCAAAGGCCCGCATATTGCATGCTATATAGTATGTGATGAAGCATTCGATGAATACAATAACAAAATAAAGTATTCATGATCGGACTTAAAAGACAAAAGTTGATGCAATAATTCCAAGTCTCCAATTTGGATTAAAGCTTTAATTCTTTGGCAGTTAAGTAAGTTCAGAATCCTCCTTTTGGTTGACCTCCGACTGTTTGTGTTACTTGGTTTGTTAGGCTCTCTTGGTTGCTGTCAAAGGCTCAGGCTGCTGTAGAATGGTTTGTTCCCTTTTTTAGGTTTCCTTCTCTTCAAGGTGAGGTTTTCTTATCATGCGTTTAGGCTTGCTAGGTGGGGCTGAACGTGTCTCGATCGGTTTTACGCTGATTATCTAGTTTTTTTATTCTTGATTTCTAGGGTTTTTAATTAGGTCTTGAATTTTCTTACTGGTCTCCGTTTCGAGTTCATCTGCACTTGCGTAGGTTAAACAGTCAAGTTGAGAATTGAAGTCAAAGTATAAGTTAGGCATAGAAAAAGGAAGATGAAGAAAAAAGAAAGAAACTGTAAACTAAACTCTGATCTGGTTTGAGAATCCAAATCCCTCAAGAACGATATACCTGGGAATGAAGTGAAAGGACGACCTTATTCCCTACAATATGATACGTTGCACTTAGAACTTCCGCTCCTTCTTCCTCAAGGATACTGATAATGTCACATAACGCAAACTTCATATCCGTCCCAGCGACTAAATTTACTTGGATAGTAGAATCGAAATCCGTTATTTTTATAACTGGGGATATTCTTGTCGCAGTCGACTGTCCCTCTTCTAGCTGCGCTTTCTTTTGCTTCAGTTCCTCCGTTCGTTTTTGCAGTTGGTTCACATAAATGGTGGCACGTTCCAGGAGCGCATGGATTGACATCTACAAGAATATTCAATGGCCTTATTTCACCTTGAAGAGTAACAGCGAAAAGGGGAAAAATAATGGGAATAAATAGAGAGAGATGACTGTACCTTGCTTGGGTGAGGAGGAAGGAGAGCGACGAGATTCGAAAAGAGAACTTTCATTTGTGATCTTCGTTCTCTTTCTATCAAATTTCGGTTCATTCTTGTTAGGGATGCAGTGCCTCTGGGCATGATGCTTTCTTTTTAGTCTTTTTGTTTCCAGCTGCCCAAACACCGAAGACGTGCAGCTTTGGCCCCGAATGATATTGGAGTATATATATAGCCAAAAGTCAAGCACTCCAAAATAGTAGCTGGCGTCAATGTTTTGAAAGAAAAATATATACATAGTGCACTTGGCGGAATTTTACTTGTTTTTATTTTATTTTTTTTAATCAAATTTCATGAGTGTTATTAAACCTGATACAAAATATACCCTTATTCAAATAAGTAATAAATAAAATTTATTACATAACTGTTCAATTAATGAGATTAATAGATCTTTCTAGAATAAATTAGTAGATAAATTTATATCTGATTAACGATTGTAATGTGACTATGTGGTGCGTATTTTCATCTTCGTGACGAGTTTCGTGGAGGTAGAGATACAATTTGTGTCGCTGCGCCGAAATAGGCCAGTGCCTTTCAAATTACAAAAGCCGGTTGTAGGGACTATTTATGTCATCAATGATGTAATTTCTTGCACCGACCCAGGTGTCCATCTGACGAGGGAGGTTAAAAGCATACAAACCCAACCTTTTACTGCCAAACACAAAACAGTAAAATATAAAGATTTTTTAAATTTAATTGAAAATGTATTGGCCTTTATTAATTTGTAAAATATATTCTTATTTCTCTAAGATTTGGTTGGAAGCACATTTTTCTCTCGAAAAAGTACTAGTCTTAATTATTTAAGTCCATTTTAAACTAAAAGACAAATCCTTCCTTTTTTATTTGCTTCTCCATCTTCATACTTTATTTCTGCTCTTGTTTTTGCTTTCTCATTTTATCACTATTCTTAGTCTTCTTGTCTGAAATTTTTAATTACAAAAATATGAGATTATATTAGTTCCAAATATAATTAAAATATTTAACTAGTTTTAAAATTATCTTTAATTATTATCAAAAATTAAATTATAATTCAATTAGGTATTAAATATATTAAAATCATATATAATTTAATTAAAAAAATTTTTTGATACACTAACAGTATATAGCTTTTATACACTATTAAGTCATCAAATCACGACATCATTAATGAGGCTTTTATTTCTTTTAAAATAATAAAACACTATAACTATCAGACTACCAAATCATGACACCTTATTAATGAGGCTTTTAGATCACAGTGTCTTATTATTTTAAAAAAGTAAAGAGTTGATAAAAGGTCACACTGTCTTATTATTTTGAAGGAAATAAGAACCACCAAATACTTTTCTCTTTTCTATTGTATTCAGTCAAATTTTTTTTTTATTTTAGATCAAATAAACTCTAATAACTAATTAGTGAATGTAACAGAAAATGACAAGTGACATTTTAATTAAACCAATCATTAATCATAAAGGCTTGTTTGGTTTAAAACAAAAGTATAAGTGTTCATTTGACTCAAAATAAAAATATACAAATTTAATTGAATGCAACAAAAAAAAGAGAATTTATTTAAAATTTTCTAAATAGTTTAGAAATTTTCTTTTAGATATTATGCCAACTAATTTTTATTCAATGGTTACTTTAAATACTAAACATATCCTCACTTATTTTCTTTTTCTTTTTTCTCTCATTTTTCGTTTCTTTTTTTTTCATGTTTATACATTTCTTATCAGTAAACCTTTTTACAAGTTAATGGTAATTAATTTATTTTAAATAAAGATAATTTAACTAATTTATCCCAAACTAATTGATCAATTGAATTGAAAATAAGTTTAATAAATTTAATATGCAGTTGAATTAGAGTATAAAATAATTAAAATTTTATTTAATAGTTACTAAAGATGATTTAAAACTAATTAAATCTCATAATTTTGTAATTTAAAAAGGTCTTATGTAAAGGATATGTTACGTGTGGTTGTGTGTTGCGACTATTAGAGGTGAGAGATTTTATCCCTTTCAGTCCGATAATCAAGGGACGAGAAAGTCGAACCTTTTCTTAGTAGATTGGATTCTTGTTTCCATTTTTTATTTTATTTTATTTTTTGTTTTAGATATTTTAGAATCGAATATGATCTTGATCAGGGACAGGGCGTCCGTTTATGATGGGGGGCCATGCCCTCAAAGTTTTTGAAATTTTTTATATATTATATATTTTGTAATAATTTTTAAAAATAATTTTTTATTAAATAATTAA